TGAATATAGATTAACACGAATAGAATGGTTAAAATGATAAATAAACACACTTGGTGAATAAGATTAATATTAAAAAAATGGTTATGCAAGAAACACAAGAGAATATGGCATAAAAATCATAAAATAGAGCTATAATTGCTTAACAATAATTATTCTAGGATACTAAATAATATTTAACTGATTCTTAATAAAAATATTTTTAAAAAATTAAATAAAATACTATTCAAGTTAGAGAAAGAAATTCATTTATATATAAATATTCAAATAATTTTCTTATGAATCTTATGTTGAATCTTTAAGCACAAATTTGCTATGTCATTAAAATAGTATTGATCAGATGTAAAATTATCGTTACTGTTATTCTAGTCATAATTCAATTATATTATTAAAGTTTACAATAATATTTAAAAATGGAAAGTGATGGAATAATCATTTAAAATCCATCTATAAATAGGTGCATGAGATAAGCCATTTAAAATGAAAAAATGGTCATTAATTTCTAAAAGATTGAAATAATAAAGAAGTGAAAATAATGTTAAAATAGATTAAAATGTTTAATTTGAAAAGAAAAAAGTGGGAAAAATGTCGTTAATCTTAAAATGAAAGTGATAATGATAATTAAGAATCTTATATTTCAGACCTATTAGCTGATAAATTAAGTCCAGAAGAAATTAAATAAATTTAAGCTATGAGAAAAAAAATAAGAATGGAGAATGAAATAAGATGATTAAATCTTGAAATATTATAAAAAATAATAAATTAATAACATTGCTCTCAATATAAATATTGAAGTAATAAAATTAGTAAAATAAAAATTTTGATTGCTTTTCTGAACAGGAAATTTTAATTCTTATTATTATTAATGCTTTACCAAAAATAATTAAATGAATTTTAACTTACTTTATCACACTCGATCATATTTGAATTTTCAAACTAATTTAAATAACAATTTTAATATCACCCTGAATATAATTTTCATGTGACAGGTTATTAATAGTTATTTAAAAATAAATAGTAAATATAAACATTAAAATGAATATAATATTCAACCTTAAATAGAAGATAAAATAAAAATTTACTGATTAAATCATAAATAAATCATAATCTTTATTATTATGAGTTATCACTACTACCAGACCCTAAAGTAGTTCCATCTGGTGAGAAGCATACTGAGTTGACATCATAAGGTTGACCATCTAATTTGACTTTTTATTATCCTGTTTGAACATCTCATAGACGAATTCAATTATCAACATTACCTGAAGTTAACCCATAATGAGTAGAGAGAACATTTATGACCATTTGAGAGAAAACATCTTTTAGCACAAATCCTAAACCCATTATTATACATATCTATATTATTATATCGAATACATTATATTACTTAAAAACATTTGAAATTTTAGTTATTTATAAATTCTATATTTTAAAAGTAAAAAGCCATACTTATTTATGCAATTTTATATGATTTATTTTAAATCTAAAACATTCAAATTCCCGTTTTAACAATCTTTTGTTATAACCTGTAATTTCATCCATATAAGATATTTTTGTCTCATAATTTATAATATACTAAAAAGTAATAGAAATTCAATAATTTTTCTAAAAGATATTATGAATTGCACTTATCATTTTCAAAACCAAGTGTCATTTATTTGTATAGCTCCTCATAAGTGCCCATGCCAAAGGAAACTTTGTAATGTGTGTCAAAATAATCACGATGTGGATAAGAAATAGATAATTCCTTTAGAAATTTTTTAGGAAATGGCTTAAGAGAAATTATAACAATAAAAGCTAGATGAAAAATCGATGATAACTTAGTAAAGAATGGCTTTTAAGAAGATGCTATCTGATACTTCAACTTTGCTGAAAAAAATATGGGATGAGTTGTCTCAATCCATTCAACAAATATATGATGAGATTGAAAAGGAAAACCAATCTTATATTACTCTCGTCAACTGTAACATGGCAGAAGCCTCTTATACTGATATTGAAAAACTAGTATCCATTGTTGAGGGGAAATCTTTAATTGATTGGAAGGATAAGAAGAATTAATACATGAGGAAGTTGGAAGAGAACAAGCTTAACTGCGAAAGAGACATTTAGGTCTTGATAGAACAATTATAGAGACATTAATAAAATATTAAGTAATTCACTTAGTAAGTATTTTTTTGTATATTAGGTCTTAATAGGAAGATGTGGGTGAAGATGGACCCTTAATAAAAAAAGATAATTTGTATGATATTTTGAATTCAGACATTGATACCTCAATGTTAAAGGAGGTCGTCGGGATATTAAGAAAAGAGAAATCTCTAAACATACTTCAATTCCTTGAATATAAAAATAACATAGAACTTTATTAATCCTTAAGTAATAATAAGAAGAAGATAAGTGAGGTGAAAAGGTTAGTCCAAAGATCTACTTATATGTTGAAAAATATCTTGGAGCATCCTTTAAGCAAGACGAACTACTCTGAGGAATCAAATAATAAGGTAAGGGAAGATTTTGTTAAGAAGATCATTAATAACTAAAAAATAATTGATGTACTTAAATTTTTAGTCCATCTTACCAGTATTGACGAGAGTTTCATTTAATGTGGATCCAATGCACTTAACTTATTGGTAGAAATGAAAGCTGATTTGAGTAATTAGAGTTGGGAAGACATAAGGATAAAAGATACTTCTTTAATTGGTGGAACTTTTGCAAGATGCAACTTTAATAACTCAGAATTTGATGGTGTAGACCTTAGTGGAGTTAATCTTAATGGAGCATAACTGGTTAACTGCAAATGGAAGAACATTAAAATAAATGAGTTGAATAAATTGGAAGGTCATGGTGACTGGGTGTTGTCAGTTAGTATCTCTCCTGATGGTAAGACATTGGCATCTGGGAGTGGTAATTGGTAAAAGTAGAAGGGAGATAATTCTATTAATACTCTAAATTCTCAAATATTTTGAATGTTATTTGATAAAAGTTTTGAAACATTTTATAAATGAAATAGGAAATATTATAATTAGCAGAATTCAATAAAAAATTAGAAATTGAAAGTAATCTATTAATTATAAAATAATGTAATTAATACTATGGAAGATTCGTTTAAGTAGAATTTTAATGAGTTAATAGCAAAGTTAATTTGAAAATTGAAGAAAACAACAAAATTAATGTATGTTAATCATGGTGTCTGGTTTATGACTAGTCATAATCGTTCTCTAGTAAAAAAGAAAGCAAATAATAAATAATCTATTCCAGATTCAAAGCAGATCGTTTGATGTTTGCATTTTGTCACTCCAGCTCTATATGGAGATCCAAGGAGCTCTCCATAAACTTATGTGCCATCTATTTGCTCCAGATGCAACAATTCCGATTACTCAATTCATAATACTAACAAATAGAAATGCAGACCATCTCAAAGTTGTGTAGGTTGAAATATAATAGATCGAAGCCAACCACATAGAGACAATCACAAATTAGGATTAAATACCTATATTGAAAAAAAGGGGAGATAAGAGATGAAGAAAATCTATCTGTACTTTCGGAGTGACAAGTAGCTTTCTAAATGAGTTGATTACATAGGCTTAACAAGAAAAATATAAATAGATTTATTAATGGTAGAATTTAAAAAATTTATGTAACAATAAGCTT